TGCTCATTATATGGTGCCTGGCTAATTTCTTTCTGCCATTCAGAATGATAGAAAGTGCCAGTCCCAGGATATTCATGTTGTAAATACAATATAGCTTGCTTTTTTAATTTTTTTTTCTTTTTTTTTTTTTTGGTGTTCTGCTTTCTTGTCTCTCTCTTCCTAGTTAATCATCTGGTGTAGTGGAGATAGCAACAAAGGAAATCCCATCTGTTGCAACTAATTGCTTCATTTTTATATGGTGTCCCAACATTTTAATTAGGTATTGGGACCACCCCTCCTTTATTGCAAAAAAAAAAAAAAAAAACTTCATGATCCTGTACAATGATGGAGAAGAAAAATACGTAAAGAAGTAGATTAGCTTGAAATTAATTTAGATATTTCCTTTCACTGTAAAAACTGTGGGCAGCACCTATTTCCATGCCTTTCCTATAGACAAGTTGGCAGGGATGTGTACGACATCTGTATTACTGCATATAACATGCATGAGAGCGTGTATATATAGTAATAAATGTGCTTTATGAAATGTATTGTAAATCATTAATAACAATGGCATAAATTATTAATACCCATCCTGACCTAATGTTCACTTATTACTTATCAATCTCCAGCATCTTCCACCCGTTCCGAGCAGCAGACAAACGATGTCATTGCAAGTGCTCGCTCGCGGCAGTACATTTCCATTACCCTTTGGGGAGGGGGCTTGCGATCTGACTCCAATTTATTGGGTCTGGAAGCAGGGCAGGGACTTGTTTGACGTCCTGCAGAAAAATGGGGCAGGACTGGGGTTAAACCTAAAGGGTGCTGACTCCTAACCCTCTGCTTTAATTCACATATTCCTCTTTCTTCCCTCTCCGCATGCTTTGATATGCTCTCGTATACCTCTCCCTTCCTGACTGTTATTTTAAAAATCTGATGGAACATATTGCTCTCCTTATCTTCATTCCATAATTCTACAGCTCCCCTTTCTGGCCAAGGATTGAATAAGGCCAAAGCAAATGGATTTTGCTTTCTCTCTCTCTCCCCAGACAAACACTTTGCTGGATTTGGGGAACAGATCAGCACAGGGCAACGCTTCCCTGGCCAGAACACATAATCCTGTCCAAGAGACAGAATTGATTAGCCATAATCAAGAGCTGTTCCGTGGTGGCTGTTAGTACAATTTTGTCTTGGCAGCTGTTCAACATTTGATGATCATTGAAATGTCCCTTAAAAACCAGGTTTGTAAGCAGTTTAATAAAGCTACCCTTGCCACTTGCTACATGCCAAACGGACTTTGAGAAAATGAGACAGAAAGAGTAAATCTAATGCTATTCCATGCACAGAAAATGGCTTGATTTTTTTTTATTTTTAAAATGCCATCAGTTCAGAATTCCATGCATAAAAAAAGCCCTATATTCCAGTAATGCGAAGTGAAACATAAGATCACACCATTGATTTCAGTGGGAGTAGCTGAATCTGGCCTTGCATACCTAAATCACGAGAACCATAGAAGAAGAAATATAAAATTCTGCAGTTTTCAAGTGGGAGAACCTAGTACTTCCTGTAAAGTTATTTAAGCATAATAGTAAATCAAAAAGCTTCAAGAAATAAATAGATTAATAGTGGACATAGATGTCCTTTAAAGGCTGTATAACTTGGATATCTGCAAACTCAAGGGCCAGAACATAAACTGTTGTGTCCAGCATATTTTATGTGACTTATAAATTAAGCTGCAAAATAACAGGACTTTAAATTGCTGATCTCTCTAAACCCTCCGTAAGCCGTTTTCTTTAATTCAGAATATATTTACCAATGAGGATTTAAGCAAATTGAAATGTTAGAGACAAATTCATCCCTCAAATGGCTTTACGGGTTCTGAATGACTGGGCTTGCTGTCCATCTAAGATTGCTGAGAGACTCCCAGCCACGTTGCACAATATCAGCTGAAGGCCAAAGAAGCCATCAAAATTTCTCCTAGAAAGAGGTGCCTCAGGTGTTTGTGTTTTTCTTTACCTTTTCTAACTAATAACACTGCACTGGCAAGGAAGGCTGTGGGGCATACCGAACATATTACTTATGCGACATGTCATGATGATCACAGGAACAAACCAGCGTGATTTACTGCAGTGATGGAATCAATGCATACTTGCAGGCGAGCTAAATTTAGCTGCTGACATAAGTTTCAGAGGTGGAGTCTGTAGACACGGTGCTGTTTCCGTATAAAGGCTGTGAGATAGTCTGTGGCAATCGTGCATCGATATAGCGGAGGATAAATTATGTGGGCTGGCTAAAACTAGTGAAATATATTCTTGCATAAATTCTGATTCTTTTCTGCAAAATTTAATAATCAGGCGTGTTGATACTGATAAAATAGAAGGACAAACTTTGCTGTGTGGCTCCTTGCAGCTGCAAGCATTTGGTAATAGGATATTTTCCTTTACAAAAATTAGAATTTGTGACATATTTTGACAAGTTGTTAAGCTTACATCACTCTGGCTATAATCTAAGTACTGTTTATCAGAATGATTTTATTCAGCTGAAGTGATGAAGATTACTGTTTACAGAGGAACCAAAGAGCATGTGTAAAGCCTGAGCCATTCCTTCTGTTGTTGAAGACTTCAGCCTGAAATTCATGCCATTTCTCCATCACCTTGTATGGTGAGCTGCTGTGATCTAAATGGCTCATTAATCCAGGTCAGGATCTGAGTGATCTTTGGATCATTTCCATCCCAACGTTTAAGGAAGCGCTAGCGAAAATTCAACAGGTATTGTTTCCTTCTGAGTCTGTCCTTAGTGACTCTTCCAACGCCGTGCCAAGCAAGCTGTGCTGTGGGAATATCCATCCCTGTCGTGACAATGTGCACCACCAACCAACCGTCTGGGTGGCGGTTATTGAGAGGATTAATTTTCAATCAGATTTCTCAGGGCAAAATTCACTGTGTGTCTTCTGTGCATCATTCTCTTCTTAGGTGGATGCCAAAAAATCTTCCTTCATTTCTCTTCCAAGCTGTTGGGTAGTGCTGGATACTGCTGCCTTCACTTATTTTTCAATCCAGGGTAAAGCATTGCCTGGTACATGGTTAAAATATAATTTCAAGCCTGCCCACTGTTTTGAGCTAGAAGGAGTTATACATATGTATATTTTTAAGTATAATTTTTATATGCTTTTATTAATAGGTTTTTATAAAGTTTTAAGCTACATGCACAGGTTCGAGACTCCTAATAAATTAATGGCCGTGGGACTGTCAGTCAAGACACTCAACTCTATCACTGACTCATTGTGTGACCTTCAGCAAGTCACGTACTTACGTGGAAAATATGAATCACAGTCTAAACCCACTAAACTACACATTACCTGCAGGTCTGCTCCAAGGCTGCCAAACTGCTTTTGTTTTCTTCTTTTTTTTTGCTTTAAAGAGATTGTTTGAGGGAGGAGGGTGGAGAGTAAGTGTGCTGGGCTGGCTTTCAGAAGGAAGGTATTAATTTCATGGTAATTGGTGCCGCAGGCAGTGTGTGGCAGGGATGCGGGCTTGCAACTCCTAATCTTTGGGTGTGTAATTTTTTTATCAAGGTGTCGCTCAGTACCTAAGAGAGACTTTCCTGCTTATTGAATCACTAGTTACACTAGTGTCAAAGTTTAACACATTTTGGCTAACATTTGCTTGTTTAATTTGTAGCTACTTTGGCATCTGATGTTTCCCTCAGCTGTAATCACCTGCAAAGCCCTGACAAATGTATCAGGGAGGCTTTCTGCATGTTTTAACACCCAGCTATCACTGAAGAGGGGGTAGTTCACAGTCCTGTTGTGGTTTCATGGCGGAAGAGGAGGGTTCTCAGCTCATCACCACACACATTTCTCCAAACTCTGAAGGACTGTAAGGGGTGTTACGGGCGTGTCGCTCCCCTGAAAAATTAGGCCCCTTAAGCACCTAACCACATGCAAATGAATTCGCAGATGTTGGTCAAAGCGTACAAGGAAGCTTGACTCGATTTTGGTTTTGGCCATGTATGGTAAACACAGCGCAAGGCGGGCACTGATCTAGCACCGTTCAGGCGCTCTTTAACTTCCCTGGAGGAACAGAAACATGCAGCCTTTGAGAGTGGTATTGCCCTGCATGCCTTGAGGTATTTGCTTCGCAGGTATTCGCCTTCTTGCTGTACTAATAACTCAGCCTCCTTCAGCAAATAGTGGAGATAAAGAAACCCTCTTTACAACCGCATAAGCCAGCATCCCCAAAACTAGCTTTACTTCTAGCACAATGGGGAGAACCTTTGGTTTCATGCCACCATCCTGCGCGTCTCATTAAAGTGCGATTTTTAGCGGGGGCTTATGCTCTCCTTTTGTCACCAACTTGCTGGCAGTCGCGTTTTCCACAGGCCCCAGCAGGCCGGTGTGACAAAATGAGGGGACGCGGTTGTTTTTTTTGCTGGGGGACTGTTGGTTCTCTCCAGTGCTGCTTTCGCTTGGCTGAGGGCTCACGAGGGGCCCCCTCCGCCGGCCTGCGCCTCGCTCGGCGCATCAGCCCTCACGGTTTGTCGGGTTTGTCGCCGTAGCACCACAAACCTTCCCCTGTCCCTTTTGGCAGCACCCCCTCGCTTTGCTTGCACCTCGGGTACCTAAAGCAGAGGAGGAGAGTGCCGTCCCACCAGGGAGCAGCGGCTGGGCCTGTGAGGGAAGGGGCCTGAGGCAGGCTGGCGGGCAGCGGGGGATCACCGACCGGCGTAAGGCGAAGCACCTGAGGGGAACCGGGCTGTTTCGTCCCCACCGGGGCCGTGGAAAGCAGCGGGGACCCAGCGTCCTCACGGAGGGTCTCGCCGCCTGAGGGGAGGCAGCGAGGAGGGCGGGGGGGGAGAGAAAGAGCGCGCAAAGCGAGCGCCGCGCCGCCATTGGCCCGACAGGCCGCCACTCACCTCGCCCCGCCCTCCGCCTCGCCAGGCGCTGCCCCCCGCCGGCGGGAGGGGGCGTGGCCGCCGGGGAGGCGGGGCTTGGCGCCGGCGCTGCCCGCCCCCGCCCCGCGGCGGTCAGTCAGTCAGTCAGTCGGGCGGCGGCGGCGGCGGCAGCGGCGGCGCAGGCTCCGCCGGGCTGAGGAGCGGACGCGGGGAGGCGGCTCGGGATCGCGGTGCGCGGCACGGAGCGGGCGGGTGTGTGGGGAGGGACGAACCGGGGAGCGGGGCGGGGAGGGAGGGCGGCGGGGGGGGGGGGGTTCTGGCTGGGGAGGGGGAGTCCTGCGCGGGGCCGGCCGGTGCCGCCGAGCCCTTTTCCTGAGGCGGCGGCCGCTGTCCTGCGGCGGGAAGCGCCCTCCCCGCGCCGGCGCTTGGGCGCCGCGCTCATCTCGGGGGTTCTCCGCCGGTTCCCTCCTTCTTAGGCAACGGAGCGCTCGGCCGCCGGCTCCCGCGGCCGGCCGGAGCTCGCAGGTTACCGGCGGGACGTGCCCGAGGCGGGGCCGGGCTCTCCCGCCGCGGCGGGGGCAGCCTCAGCGCCCCGCACACCTGATGCCCGTTGCTAGCCCCGGCCGCTTCTGCAAGGACGTTTTTGGTTTTTTATTTTTTTTCTTTTGTTCAGCAGGTTCCCCCCCCCCCCCCCTTTTTTTTTTTTTGTGTGCTCCCTCCCTTTTTTTTATTTTTTTTTTCATGGCGCTGCAGCAGCAGCAGCTCGATGGCACCGGCGGCTGCGTGACATTCCCCCCCTCCTCCCCCCCCCGGAGCGCCGCGTCCCCGCTGCCACCGTGTAACGTTGCAGAGGACAAAAGATGACCGGAGGCTTTAGTTTTATGTTTTATTTCTTTACGCTCGTACATGTCACGCCGTTATTAATGGCTCTTCTGAGTCTGTTCCGGAGATGTGTAAAGTCCTGGGTCGGATGACACGGTCCTGGGCTTTGTTTTTCTATGCAGAAAGCCACATTGTTTTAATAGCGATATGTCAAAGGCCAGAATTTAAAGGTTAGTCCTCGTCTGTGCTGTGTGAAATTAGCTGCTTCTCCGCTCACGATACAGGGAAAGGCGACCACCGACATGCAGCCGCACCAACGTTCAGCTGTAGTACCCCGGTCTAGACAATGTGATGCTGTGACTGCACAGGAGACAGGTCTGAAAAAAAAAAAAAAAAAAAAAAAAAGACTGAAAGCTGACTAGAAACAAAAGTAAAACTGATTGATGCAGTTTTATTGTTAAGTGATATGCATTAGTGGTGTGGGTTTTTTTAATAGATGTAGTTTCAGTTCTGTACATGTTTGTTTGAGCACATCTATTCAGCCTATTCATGCAGATGTGTGTGTGGATTAGTATAAGCAAGACCAAGGATGTTAACAAAATGAAAGAGTGACATGTTGAATATACTAGGCTGTGGCTGGTTTTTCGGTTTGCTGATAGTGATTCTGGTTTAATTTTAGGCCAGGCTGTATCCAGATTACCTGCTGCTATCCTCTCTCTTCGTGTGCCTCTCTAAGCACGTGCAGGAGAGAAGCTCTGTGCCTGCTGGAAGTGTGGGGAAAATGGTGTGAACTGGCACAGCCCGGCCTGTAAGAAGCCCGTCCATATGTGCTGAATGTGCGATGGCTAGAGAAAACAGCGGGTAGCTTGTGCATGAGGCAGGAGAGGATATGTGCGATTTTCATTTGAATAACAAGCATTGAATCATCTTTTCTGCTCAAGGGGGAAAAACAGATGGCTGTGCACTCACCGAGACACTTTATTGCAGCTAATATTCCTGTTTGCTAAAGACTGTGTACACAAAGGTGGAAGATCAAATACTGTCGTGATAAAGTCAAGGCATGTTTCTTTTGTGTGTATATGTTTTTAGTATTTTTAGTAGCCATAGGAAGACCTGACACACTCAGGTACCTGACAGGGAGCATTTGCTTTGTATTTGTTTTAGTACAGCTCTTCAGAATAGTAATTTTTTGATGGTCACTTGTAGCCTTTTATACAGATTGCTTTAATCAGCGTTTGTGTGTCTCCATGTTCTCTGTTGGCATTACTCTATCTTCTAGTGAGCTGCCTTTTCAAACATCATTGGATTTTTTCAAGTTAAATCTTCATGCTTATTGCATCTGTCACTTCTGGGATTCGCTCCAAGCAAAAGGCAGAGATTCAGTTTAATGGCAGTGAGAAGGAATGCACAGAAGGGTAAAATATCAGCTTTCCTGAGTGATGCAGCGAAGGCCGCTGAGAGATCTGTCCTCAGGAACTGTTCCATGCATCGTGTTCGAGTTTAATATTAGACTTTAGTGACGGCTTCATAAAATGGCTCATTAAAGCACAACGTTGCGTTTTGATTGTAAGAGAATTTATGGTATCAGTTTTAATTTGATTATTGATTCCGAGGAATAGAACTCGGATGCCAGCTTCCTATTTTGAAGACATGAGCAAAACACTTCCTGGCCTGAGTCTGCAGCTTGGTGAGGTCATCAGCGCACCACTCCCAGGGCTAGGAATGTCCTTTTAAGCAAACTCGCAGGCACATTTTCACTTGACTTTTAAAGTATGAGTTTGTTTGTTTTGCTTTTGTTTTACTGAGGCTTTTGTGATAATCTCAGTCCTTCTCTAAGGATGTGTCGGAACAGAAACTCACTGAGGATTTGAAGTGCCCCAGTTTAAGCGTTTACAGGGCATACCAGCAAGAATTAAATGTCTGTGTTCTCTTCTAGCTCTTTCCCTGTAGTTTCCCCCACCTAATATTTTTGGTCTGCTTATATTCTGCTGGTTAATTCTGAAATTAGTCCGATTAGAAACTGCTTACAGCTTCAGCTTACAGTCACCCTGGTGATGTAGCCACATGTGAAAAGTCAGATTATTGGTGGCTTTAGGCTGACAGGATGTGTACTGATAATATTTTTTTTTGTCATGATATGCACAAATGCAGGTGGTGGCGGCATTGCTGGGGTGAACACCATGTCAAAACTAAGGCAAAAAGGTTTAGGTTAGCTGAAGGGACTCGGGATAGCTAGCAGTGAAGGTGAATTATTCCAGATGTGTTGAATATACCAGTATAGTTGGGAATCGCTTACTGGGCCCTTTCTGTTTGCTAACTGGATTGTTTTGTTCTATTTTTTCTCATGTGAGCAGCTATGCTAAAATGGGTTATTTGTTTCTTTTTGAGGTTATAAGCGTTCGGTACGTGCCTTTATATGTGTTTTTTAGATGATGGCATTAGGCACTTAAAACACCAGGGTGACCCTAGAATTCCTCAGCTTCTCGGCGTAGCAGTGACGGGTGTGAGAGGTCCCACTGGCAGATCTGGCTTTGTGCAGGAGGGCTCTGGGATGCTGAGTCAGGTGCTGATGGTCTCCTAGGAGCACACCGCAGAGGTTCTTCATGGACCATACCAACCATTAGTTGTATTACCAACCATTAATTGTGTATATGCCTGTATGGGTTTGTGTAGCGAATACAAATCTGGTTGGAATTAATGGTTGGATGTGGATGGAGGCAATGATGTAGCTATAAAGTACAAGGTGGCTGTTGGGCAAATAGATAATTTTACTTCACACCTCTCCAGTGCAGTTCTTCATGCCAGTAAGACAGATGTAATCTCTTTACAGCAGACATCTTTGTAGCAAGTAACAAAATGATCCTGAAATGGAAGAGGCTTTTGTGATAGAATACCAGAAAAACTTCGAAGTCCTGCTCTGTAGGTCAGGAACTAGTGAGGAACTTGAGACAGAAATAATGAAAATGGTATCTCCTCCTGCCTCCTAAGGGGGGGGGAAAAAAAAAAAAACCATGTTGTTCTTTTGAAGGCTGATGGTGCTCATTGACAGAAGAGGTCTCCTTGGTTTAGAGGTGACAGTAAAACTCGGTCTCTTTGACCATTTTTCTTCTTTGTTAAGGAGTTCCAGACCAAGGTAGAATCACCTGCATTGGAGATAAGACAATAGCATTTCTGCAACATTACCACTTTGCTTCTGCAACATTAGTTGCTTTGTCCTATCCCAGTTTTGTTGATGATAACATTAAATGATATATAATATGCTTTTTGCTATGAGCCTGTAATGACTTTTGAGGTCTGGCTTTCAGTGGGAGAAGCTGGATGTAGTTGAATTGCTTATAGTGACTCTGTTTGACATTGAGCTGGGCCCTCTCAGTTCATCATAATTAGGTTTTTCTTGTTTTCCCTTTTAATAATTTAATTTGAAAAAGCAATGGAAATAAAATTAAAACAGTGGTGGGATCTGACTTAAAGTGATTAAGGTTCAGCCTGATGCGGTCAGACGTGCCGAACTGAGCTCTCAGCTTCCAGCTGGAGCATTGCTGAGCTGCACTTAAGGCCAAGTGTTCCCTTTAGGAAGGATCACAGTTTCCCTGTAACTCTCTAAAGCTTGCCCAGCCACTGCATTTTTGTATGTAATCTATGTACCTACAAGTGTATATGTAATCTATGTACAATTCTTCTTAGGCGAATGTTAGGCGACCATTTCTGCAGTCTTATCAAATATGCCTGAGCAGATTTCATAAAACTAGAGGAGAGCAGTGTGGCTAAAACTAGACTGTATTTGCATCTGTGTATGAACCAGGGCATTACATTTCACCTGTAATTCGTGGTATAAGTAGTCCCTGGAAAACAGCCTTCAAATCACTCTGGTCGGAGTATTTAGAAATGTGGGAACTTCCCCTCCCTCCCCCTCCGACCCCCTAGTTCTGCCTATAGTTGCCATAGAGACTGTGTTCTGGAGTCCTTGAAAATCCATTGTTTATCTTGCATAAATGGATAAACCTGCTGTATTGAAACATCACATTTAGAAGCATCCCCTTCCCGTGCAAATCTGATAGGGATTTGACATCCTACAGTACTGCGCATTTCGATATTGGACATGCGTCAGGCACAATCAGACGAACTGATAATGGGTATAATTAGCACCACAAGGGATTAGTAGGCAATAACAAATTCAAGCCGTAGTAAGCATTCTGTCCCTTGGGAGCCAGGCAAACTGGCAGTGCTGGGCAGATGATCACTTGATATGGAAGATAGTCATCAGCAAAGGCTCGATGGTGAGGGACTCGGCTCAGTGCCAGTATTACCTCTCAAAATTGCCCTTTTTTATTTTTTCCCCTTCCATTTTAAATACTTAAAAACCTCACAGTTTATTAGCTCATGCTGGGATCTTGAACACCCATGCGAT